CGTCCAGAGACACCCCAGGTGTGACCAGGAAGTGGCCTGCCGCCACATTCAGGGGACACTCTGGCCACCAGCACTGGGGCTCAGTGTCCCTGTCCATGTGTGGTGGGGTTGAAAATGAATCCTATGAATGTCCTAATCCCAGGGCCTATGGATGTCATCTTCTGTGACAAAGTCTGCAGGTTCCATTATATCAAGGGGATCTAGAGAGATGATCCTGGATATTTCAGGTGGGCCCTAAATGCCACTTCAGGCATCCTCATAAGAGGGAGGCAGAGGGGGACCAGATCTACACGGAGCAGGCTGTGTGCTGGTGGGGAGACGGGAGACGCTGGCCTAGAACACAGGAGGGATGTGGCCCCCAGCCGAGGACCCCACAGCCACCAGATGGTGGGGAGGCCGGAAGCTCCTCCCTGGAGCCTCAGGAAGAAGTATAGCCCGGCTGGTGCCTCAGCCCGGCCTCCTGAAACAACTCAGTCTCTCCCCTCCAGAGCAGAGGCAGTGGACTCAGGGGCTTTTAGCTACTTGGCTTGTGGTAACTCGTCACAGCACCCTCTGACGTCTGGAGACACCCCAGGTGTGACTGGGATGTGGTCAGCTCCTGTCATGGCACCATCCCGTGGTCCCATGGGGTGCACCATGATGACATCCACAGTGGGGAAGGTGAAGCAGAGGACACCTGGCCTGGGTTGGCGGGAAATGCTCACAAACAGCAAGGCACCTCTGTCCACAGCGGGGCTCCTCCAGCAGGAGGGGGCACACACAGGCCCTGGTGTCCCCACTCAGAGGACACGTGGGTATCACAGGACAAAGGGAAGACCTTACAGCCTTTCTCTCCAGGCAAATTCTGCAAATGTGCCCTTATGCTCTGAGAGCCAGAACAGGCTGCCAAGAAGCACCGTGGAAAGGAGCCCGGAAGGCAGGCCTGGGGCTTACTGGGCCACACTCGTCTCTGCATTCCAGGGAATCCCTTCTGATCTGTAAGTCGCTGATTTCCTTACCACTCTAAGTCAGTATCGCTCTCACCCCCAACTCGGACTGCACAAATCTCATTGCTCTTCTTGCTGAGGGTCTCCCAAGAGTGTCAGGCCTGGGCAGCCTGGACCCTGCCCCTGCTGGCCCTTCCTGTATGGCAGGCACGTGACTGACCTCACCAGAATCTCTGGGCTCCTTCCCCACATGTTCAAGTGGGGATGGGGTTTGCTCCCAGGGCAGTGAGCCTGCTCAACCACCCAAATGTGAACTGGAACACACGCAGCCACCAACGGGAGGGAGGTCCAGGCCGTGGCTACAGATGTCATGCTGCGGTGACCATGAAGCCGTGGGCATGGCCCCAAGTCTCAGCTGTGGCCAAAGGTGGCCACAGGGCAGGATGCCACTTATAGGGATGCAGCCTTGGACCACTATTCCCTGGAGCTTGGAGTCCACAAGGAGTCAGCTCCCTAGTGCAGCAGGTAAAAGGTGCCACAACTGGACATGGGAGCCCCTGGGTTCCCCTGTGGCCTCTGATGCAGGCTGGGCCAAGGCTAGGGTTACTGAACTATAAAGCCTCTTGGCTAAACTATGAACAGAACTAGATACAGGGTGAGCGCTGTACCATCACCTCTGCCCTCCCAGAACTCTGGCAGGGCTGGGGAGCGTGCTCTGCCCTGAAGGACATTGTGTACACCAGGCGCAGAAGCTGTTACAACAGCGACAACCCAAACAGCTTGGCTGTGGCCATGCCCCCACTCCCACCCATGCCCTTCGTGGGAGGCCAGGGCCCAGGTCAGCAGAGCTGAGCAAGTTAATCATTGGTGCTTGTGGGGCCGCGACTCCAGGGCAGGCAGGCAGGCAGCTATCAGTTCAACCCCTCCCTGGCGGATCAGAAAAGGCTTGCCTGAGGCCTTCTGCCCAGAGCCCCTCCAACTGTCCCCACCTCCCTGGCCTTGTGAGTGCTACCTCGTTCCTGGAAGCCTTTCCACTTCACACACATTTTTAGGCAAAAAAGCCAAGGTGCCCAGTCACATCTGTATGTCCCTGAGGCCAGAGTCCAGGGCCTGGCTGCAGCGCCCTCTGGGGGTCACCAGGGGCCAGACCTCACTCTCTTCCTCCTCCTCTGGGGCGAAGCTCCCTAAAGCCTTTCTGAAGGAGAGTCACAGCAGCAGACCCTGGGGCTGCCAGAAGCGGGGGGGTCCTTTCTGGAAGTGGCTGGTGTGGGGACCAGAGTCCTTACCGCAGTCAGAACTTCCCTGCGAGCTGCCTGCATCTTACCAGGGCTCCAGTACCTGGTTCAGGCAGGATGGGCCACTGCTCTGAGCTTGCCGGGTGGGGTAGGCCCCCCAGGAAGGGGTTTAGAGTATGGGTATGTGTCTGCTGGTCCCCCTTTCTCACCAGGCCTTGAGGACCCCAGGGCCCAGAGCTCCTGGGAATCTTAATAGACTTTTACCTGCCTGAAAATCGACACCTGCTATACCCCATCTTTCGGGCTTCAAAGTCTGGTTCACCTCCAGAAGTGTGGCTTCATACCTCCTGCAGAAATGTAGCCTGCTCCTGGAAACAAGCCCATGAGGCTGCCAGACGGGCACAGGGAAGAGGGCACCGTGTTCCTTCAGGACTGTGCCTCAGCTTGAACCACAGGATAACCATGTGTTGCGCTCCAGAGAACTGGAACTGGCATGTGTGAAGCCTGGAGAGGCAGCACCAAGGCAGTGGACAGTCCACAGGGCCAGCCCTGCTGCCTCCTCTCTGCTCCAGCCCCTCACACTGCAGCTCCTGGCCTGGCTTATTCACACCCTGGCCAGGGGCTACTCCTCCCGCAGCCCTCGTGCCCTCAGAGGGGCCCTCTCCAGCAGCCCCAATACAACTCGACCTGCGGCCCACTGGCAGAACCCAGCCCTCCTGGGCCAACCTCCCATATGTGTGTCATGACTTTTTTTTTTTTTTTGGTACTGGGGATTGAACTCAGGGGCACTTAACCTCTGAGGCACAATTCCAGCTCTTTTTTATATTTTATTTAGAGACAGGGTCTCACTGAGTTGCTTAGGGTCTTGCTAAGTTGCTGAGGCTGGCTTTGAACTCAAAATCCTCCTGCCTCAGCCTCCTGAGCCACTGGGATTACAAGCGTGCATCACCACACCCAGCTGAGTGTGTCATGACTTTTAATGTCAGCCTTGCTCTTAGTGCGAGTAGTGATCCCTGTCACTCCTTGTCCCTCAGTGGCATCTGCCAACCTGTGAACCATGTCCCTGGTGCCTGAGTCCCTGGGGGATAGGCTCAATTCAGGTATGTGTCCTGGGGCCTGACACAGGAGGGGCCTTCAGGGATGTCCGTGTATTCTGCAGGGACAGAAGACTGAAAAGCAGCCCTTGGAGCCACTGGGAGAGGGACAGTGGCTTCTGAGTACCCACTCCAGTGGAAAGGGGTAACCAGGAGAGCGCTGAGTGCCCAACAGGCACTATCAAGGTCTCACAGAGAAAGGCTCTGAGTGCCAGGTGTGTGGGCTGCACCTGAGCTGCCGGGCATCACAGTGGACCCTTTTCCAGGTAGGGGCCTGGAGCTGGCCCTGGGGGGCCGGTGATGAGGGAAGGCTGGGGCTGGGGAGGCAACAGAGGCTCCTTGGGGAGAGCGAAGCAGGGGGCAGGCCCAGGTGCTCTGAGGCTGTAGGGTGGTCCCAGCTCTGGGAGGGACACTCACAGGGGACACGCTGTGCCCCAGCTATCGGTGGCAGCGAGGTCCTGAGGGATTTCCCTCTCTTTTCTCTCCAGGTGGCCGGCCCTGGGCCTCCCGAGGCCTCTTGGGGCCGGAGCCTGACCCCTACGCACGCATGCGGCACAGCTGAGCCCTCCACCCGCGACTTCTGCCAGGACCCTTTCTGGCGGGCGAGTAACCCGAGGCTCCCAGTCCAGGCTCAGGACTCAGGTCGCCGGGCCGCGACTCACCGCCTTGCTCGCTCCGCATACCGATGGTGCCGCCGGTGTAGACGGCCAGCACCCGCCGCTCGGGCCCCGCCGCGCGCGCCATGCTAGGACCGAGGGCACAGCTGGCGCCGGGGACAAGGAGGGTTGGTGACCGCAGGGGCGGCGAACGCAGGGGCGGTGGTGGCGAGGGCATGTGACGGCTGGTGTGGCCTGGGGGCCGGGGCGGCGCTTTCCGGCGGGCGGGTCCTGAGCAGCCTCGGCGCCCAGGCTCTGGTGCAAACGCCGCCGCGAGCCTCGCGGACCCGAGCGCCCAGGACCTCCACAGCCCTGCTGCCCCGACACCCCGGAGCTCCCCAAAGCCCGCACCTCCGACCCGGCCCTGGGAGGCTACTCAATGACGAGCTCGGGAGCAGGCAGAGTCTGCCAGCGCACTGTGCAGGGCAAGAGCCAGAACACAGGCAAGTTCAGGGTGTCATGAGGTCTCCAGCAGCAGGCTAGGTCCCTGATGCAGAGAAACCCACCCTGGCTGTCTTGGGAATGGCAGGCTTGGACTGCTGAGAACAGAGCACAGCACTGTCTGCAGGAAGAGCCCCTCCAGCCTCTGATTCCCAGGGGAAATCATGGAGAGGATCCTGCCACTGATAGGCTGGGGAGCCCAGTCCCATTAGCACTCTGTGCTTATTTGTTTGGTCTACCCAAACATTTAAGGAAATACCACAGCCTGCAGGCTGCAGTGTGAGGTTCACCTGTATTCCCAGTGAGTAGGGAGGCTGAGGCAGGAGGAATATAAGTTGGAGGCCAGCCTCAGTAACTTAGTGGCACTCTAAGCAACTTAGCAAGACCCCTATTTCAAAATAAAATAAAAGGGCTGGTGATGTAGCTCAGTAGTAAAGCATCCCTGGGTTCAATCCCTAGTACCAAGAAAGAAAGAACAACTTCACAAGCTGGATGGCTCCAGCATAAGGTAGTGTGTCACAGTGCTGGAGGTCAGAGGTCCTAGATCTCAGTGGCAGCAAGTTTGGTTCCTTCTGGCTCCTCTCCTTGGCTAGCAGATGGTGCCTCTCTGTGTCCATGTTTCCTCTTTTATTATGACAGCAGGCATGCTGGGTTAGGGCCACTCTACGGGCCTCATTTTAATTTAATCATCCCTTAAAGACTATTTCCAAATAGTCACATTTAGAAGTTCAGGGGATTACTACAACACAGAAACTTGAGGTTCAACAAGTAGCAGCCACCCCCTGAACACCTAGGTTGGCCTCGGATGGCACATCTTTGACTCTCCGGACCTGCCACTGTCCGTTCTCAGGCTTCGCCATTGGCCTCATTCTGACTGGAACACATGCTCATTCTCCATCTGGGCAGGCAGCTTTGCATCCCTGTGACCAAATACCTGACGAGAACAACTTGGAGAAGGAAAAGTTTATTTTGGGCTCATGCTTTCAGAGATTCAGTTCATGCTCAGTCAACTCTTGTGGTCTGGGCCTGAGGGAGGCAGAATGTCAAGGCAGAAGGCCTGAAGGAGTAGCATTGCTTAGCTCAATACAGCTGGCAAGGAGGGGTGGAGGCCAGACTCCACAACTTAGTGATGCCCTAAGCAACTTAGCAAGACCCCTATTTCAAAATAAAATAAAAGGGGGAGGGGGAGGGGGAAGGAGGAGTGGGAGAGAACAGGGGGGAGGGGAGGAGGAGAGAGGGGGAGAGAAGGGGAAGAGGGGGAGGGAGGAGGGGGAGAGGAGAGGGGGTGAGAAGGGGAAGGGGGGGAGAGAAGGGGAAGAGGGGGAGGGGGGGAGAGGAGGAGAGGGGGAGGGGGGAAAGGGGGAGAGGGGGAGGGAGGAGGGGGAGAGGAGAGGGGGAGAGAAGGGGAAGAGGGGGAGAGAGGGGGAGAGGAGGAGAGAAGGGGGAGAGGGGGGAGAGGAGAGGGGAGGGGAGAAAAGGGGGAGGGGAGAAAAGGGGGAGAGGGGGAGAGGGGGAGGGAGGAGGGGGAGAGGAGAGGGGGAGAGAAGGGGGAGAGGAGGAGAGGGGGAGGGAGAGGGGAGGGGAGGGAGGAGAGCCAGGGACTGCAGTGGTCCAAGGGCACACCCCCAGGCTATTCCCTCAAGCCTCGCCCACCAGCCTACAGTCACCACCCTGCAGTCCCTTCATGCATTCCATCAAGTGGGTCAATTCACCTATGAGGCTAGAGCCCACAGGATCCAATCGCTTACCTCTGAACACTGCTGCACTGACGCGTGAACTCTTCAGGGGACGCTTTATATCCCAAGGACACCATCCTGTGAGAGTCACAGTTTGCCCTCTGGGAATCTTCCTTAGCTACCCACTGCCATCACAAGCCTCAGGAAACCTGTGTGGGGCTGGGCAGGCCTTTGGTGACAGTCCCAGCTCTGGGCTCACCTGGCTCTGTCTGGCTCCAGCAGTGTGTGAGCCGTACCAGGCTCTGTAGTCCAGAACCAGGGCAGCCAACAGCTTCACCTGTGGCACCAGCTGGTCCTCGGGTAGCTCTGCTGTTCTGCTTTGTGTGGCGCGTGCACCTCCACCTCAGGTGTTCTCTGGTTGCCCAGCCATGCCGTGGGCATTCTCAGACCTGTCCTCCTGGTCTTTATCCTCTGGCAGGGAATCTCTGGCAGAAGAGAAATAGAAATGCTAGTGTCTGGTGGGCTGAGTGGCAGAGGAACAACAGGGAACAGTGACAGATGGAGGTATCTTCAACAGGGTAGACTCAAGGGCCCTCTGAAGGACTGCATTCCTGCAGAGCCAGGGCAGAGCACAGGTTGCCAGGCAGAGAGGAACAGGTACCCAGGCCTGAGCCAGTCCACACGGCGGTCAAGTCAGCAGGCAGGACATTTTCAGGGAGAGTACACTGGCTAAGAAGCCATGGGGCCAGCCAGAGACTACGACTGTAACCCTGAGTGTGACTGTCAGTCCCTGGAGGACTTTGGCAGGTTTGTCACAACCTCTGACTGCTATGTGGAGAGAGATGGGGCAAAGTGCAAGGCTGACCCCTGTGTTAGTCAGCCTTCTGTAACTGTGACAAAATACTTGAAATAAATCAATTTAAAAGGCAAAAACATTGTTTTGCCTCGTGGTTTCAGAGTTTTCAGTCCATAATTGGCTGGCCCTGTTGCTTTGGCCCTGTGGCATAGTGGAGGAGGCTGTTCATCTCACTGTGGCCAGGAAGCAAAGAGAGAGGAAAGGGTGGCAGTCCCAAGTCCCCACTGAGGCACACCCCTGTGACCTAAATTCCTTCCATTAGCCCCCACCTCTTAAAGGTCCCACCACCTCCTGATAGTGCCAGAGGCTGAGAAGGAGACCTTCAATTCAGGGGACATTCCAGAGCTAAACTGTAACAGCTCCTAAGTCTTTGGCTAGAGCACCCTGCTTGAGAGGACCAAGTTGAGAAAACCTGGGCAATAATTTGCCCCACTGGTCCTGCAGCCCTGCCTGCCTGGCTCCCTCTCCAACCCACTTTCTTGAGCTTGGAGTGCAGGCTCAGGAGCATGAAGTGCAGCCCCTGGTACAGCAGAAATTCAGGAACTTGTGGAAACTGCAGAATGTCCAGGCCCTTCCCCAGGCCCCTGCCTCAGAGACGCCAGCAGGCCCAGGAGCGGATGCTCTGGCACCCTCTGGGTGATTCTCACAGCTGTGAATCTGAGAACAGGGGCCAGCAAGCTGTGGCTCTGGGGAAAACTGGCCCTCCTGTTTTGTAAAGAAAGTTTCATGGGAATAGCTGTGCCCGCTCCTTTGTGTTCTGGGTGGGGAAGGCCAGGTGATGGCCAGTGTAAAGAATCTGTGGCCACGTGGGTGGAGAGTGGAGCGGGGCAGGGACACTCAACACACCCAGTGTATGTCTGCACAGGCAGCCTTTGTCCCTAGGGTGTCATCTCTGCCTCGAGGCTCAGGTCCCACTGGTCACCAGCAGTGGTCTGGTGGCCCTGCTCGACAGGGTCAGCCACAGAGACTCCATGAGGCATGAGCTGTCCACACACACACAACTCCCTTGTGGGAGTCCCTCGTGAGGCGCACACAGAGGTCCTCTGAGCTGTGGCTTCTTCAGGCAAGCTCTTCCTCCTGCTGTGCTGTCCAGCTTCTGTAGAGCCCCCGGGGCCAGGCACGTTCACGGCACCTGTGTATGCCGATTCCGTCACCCTGTAGCCACTGTCTGGCAGGTGAGGGAGCTGAGGCCCACAGAGGGCTCCACAACACTGACCGGTGAGCTGGGCTCGGGGACCCACAGGGGTGCATAGTAGCTGTGGGGAGGCCAGGTTGCTGGGTCCTGGGCTGGGATTCCTGTGTCTGGAGGGGAAGCCAGGAGAGGTAGCAAGGAGGGAGGAGGAGGGCCAGGGGCGATGGCCGTGCTGGGGACCCAGCAGAGGGAGGCCTAAGAACCTGAGTGGGGGAGAGGGCCTAGGGCCAGGCAGGGAGCAGAGAGTCTTGGGCTGAAGGCTGGCTGGGAAGGGCGAGAGGAGCCCCCAGGTCTGTGCAGAGAGACCTCGGTGCTGCACCTCAGCATCTTGGAGGCCACGGTGGGCACAGACACTGAGCAGTCAGGGCAGCTGCTCTTTAGACCTGGACTTGACCACCCACTGGAGGGAGGGCAGGCAGCTCTGGAGCAAGGCCACCTAGCCTGACCATGACCTCAGGGCACTCTGAGATGTCCCACAGCCTGGCAGTGCCATGGCCTCTGGACACTAGCTTCCTCTGAAGGTGGGTGAGGCACTGTCTCTCCAACAAGAAAGCCTCCAAAGATCATGACAACTGAGGGCCGCTGTCCAGTAGCCCCAGCAGCAATAGGACACTGTCATTTCTGGGGGGAGCCAGAGGGGCACCAGGACATCCACCATACCACTTAGTAGCAACCGGATGTCTTCTCAATAAACGGGGAAAGGGAAGCCTCACCCTCACCTCTCCAGCATGGCTGAGAGGGGTCCCAGCCCAAAGGGAAGGCCAAAGCCATGACATTTCCAGGAGAAAAGAGAAGATTTCAACCAGAGAAGACAAAGATTTCTTAGTTAGGAAACTCTGGTCACCAGCCATAAAACAAAATTTAACAATCAACAAAACAGACTATTAAATCCCAAACTTCTGGCCAGGAACTGTGGCACATCCATAAGCCCAGAGATTTGGGAGGCTATAAAACGGTGGTCTCTGGGGCCAGGAAAAGCAGGGAACGGGGCTGTCCCACGGGCACTGTCCCACGGGTGTGCGTGCAGATCCAGGTGTGCCAGATGGAAAGGATCTGGAAATCCTTTTGCAACGACTAGAATACACTCAACGCTAGTGAACCACATGCCTAAAAATAGTTAAGGTGGTCAATTTTCCATTACACACAAAAAAGTGAATAGGCAAGGCTGGCCCAGGAGAAAATATCACAAAACACGTATCTGATGAAGAACTTGAATTCTGAATAACTCCATAATGAAAAGGCAATGAGCCCCCCAAATGGGCATAAGACTTGAACAGACCCATGGCAAAGGAAGACGTGGACGCGCTTAGATACAAAGAATCGTTAACTAGCGACGGGGAGAACTGTGCAGGGGGCGGAACTGTGCGGGGTACAGGCCCTATCTCTAGGACCCCTTGGCCGAACAAAGCCCAGGAGGACCGGGGTGCTCTTGGAGGCTGAAGCCCCCTGTGGGCGGAAGGCACAGGGCCAGGAGCCACTCTCTGCTCTGTTGGCAGACCTGACACTGCTCAGCGGGCAGAGGAACACCTGCAGGGCCAGCGCCTGCACACTCATGGCCCAGGTGGACTGGGGGCAGAGAGGGCAGCCCCAGCCACACGAGAGCAAGCCTGCAACACGCAGAAAGTCGGCAGTTTCCTAAGAAGCTAAGTGGCCACCTGCTCCATGGTGCAGTGACCCTATAGCCCCAGGCATTTGCCCAAGAGAAGCCAAAGCGCGCACCCTAAAGGCCAGTTCAGGGAAGCATAGACGGAACAGGCAGAGTGGACTCATCCTGCTCTTCAGGACCAAAGCCAGACCAATGGCCAAGGACAGTGAAGGACAACCGACTCACAGGGGCCTAAGGAACCTTGGGAACCCTGCTGGACATTGGCATCCCCACATGGACATCTGGCTCCCGCCACACCCAGAGCACTCCCACAGAGACCACAACCCCTGCAGGCCTTCTGGGGACACAGGACCCTGGCGGGGAGACCACCAAAGCTCTGCACTGGGATTCAGGTATGCTCCTGTCCTGCCTGGAAGTCACACCTCAGACGATTTTAAAGGGGGTGGGGACTCAGATTTTTCAGTGTTTCATGAAAAAAGAAGGGGATGCCAGAAAGGCCAGCCATGCTGCTGTTGTGTCTCTCATCCTGGTGGCATCTTTTAGTTTCATATCATCCCAAATCGAAGTGGTTTTATAAGCCCAAGCAACCAATAATACCAAACGACAACCTGAACTCAGCACCTCTCCGGGCCCCCCGGGGCAGGCTGCTCTCGTGGCCTGCCCCCCCCCCCCCCCCACACACACACACACACCGACCCTGCACCCTGCCATGTAGGAAGGCCTGGCGCTCTGCCTGCTGGGACCACCAGGGCGGAGGCAGGGCCTGCGGTTCCCGGTGGAACCGGCTAGATGGCAGTGCTGTGCTCACTGCCAGCTCCGTCTGTGAGGCAGAAAATGTTCCCCAGTCAAAGTGGTTCACAGCAACCAGGGCCTGAGTAGCTCTTTGTGAAGCACAATTTCAGCAGAAACGCAGAAACATCGTGTAAGCGACAGCATGCCAGTTTCTAATTACAGGTCTTCAAAAGCACAGTCTAATTTCACTCTTCTAGAGCCTTTGTCTGTGGTCTTTTAACATTACACTACTTTTCTGAGGTTAAAATGGTAATTTTCTCTTTTACTTACAAAAAGCCTTTTCAAGTTAATGTACTAAGTTAATTATTCCAATACAGAAGTGAGCCCAGAGAATAATCAAGAACATGCCCAAACGCAGGGCACATCTCTGTGCCCTTTCTCACCACACTGTGTAATTACCTGCTTTCTGCACTGGGCTGCTGCTTCTTCCTGAGCCCTACACATCCTTTTTGTTCCCTAGAGTAGTGCAGCTACTTCATGGTGGGGAGAGAAGGCGCTTAACCTCAGCTTGCTCAGATCTGCGTGACCTTGAACGGCATGGAGACCCACCGTGCTTCTAAAGGAAGCGAGCCCAGACCTTTCCGAGTGGCCAGCTGGTCTGGGTCAAGAATTACTTTGAATTTAGGTGAGTCTGAATAAATAGCCTACAAGCATGTGTTCATGGCCACACTTCATCTAGGATATATCTATGTGCTTTGGTGTCTAGTTTTGACTCTGAATATTCTCTCTGCAGTATATCGCTTGTTAATTGAACGCAATTCCTTTTACTATCTCTTTCTTTCAGTATGTACTCTATCAAACAGGATCTATGAGTGATGGACTCACCTATCAAAAATAACGAGGCAAGCCTGCAGCTGCCAGCGCTGGCAGGAACTGGCTTCTGCCATCAACTGCGAGTGGCTTCCATCCTCCAGCTCCCCTTGGCTGGTTTCAGTCAGCTTTCTGAGTTGTAGCCAAAATACCTGACAAGAACAACTTGGAGGAGGGCAAGTTTATTTGTGACTCAGTTTCGGAGGACTCAATCCATGGATGGCCAAATCCACTGCTCTGGGCCAAGATGACACCACACATCATGGCAGAAGGGCCCAGCGCAGGGAAGCTCCTCACTCATGGTGGGGTCAGGAAGCACAGAGAGCCCCACAGGGTAGATGTACCCTTCCGGGCAAGCCCAAGGGACCCCCTCCTCCAGCCACACTCCAGCTGTCTACAGTTAATCCAATCAGTCCACTTCCAAATATTCCTGCACCAACAGGAGTTTCAGGGACACCACATATCCAACCCATAACGTTCTGCTCTGGCCCCCAAAAGTTCATGTCCATCTCACAATGCAAAATGCATTTAGTTCAACTCCAAGAGTCCCTAGTCGTAACAGTTTCAGACCTGCCCAAAAGTCAACGTTGAAGTCTTTTCTGAGACTCAAGACAAACTCCTGGCTGTGAGCCCTGTAAAAATCAAAAGCAAGTTATATATATCCAGTGTACAGCCACCAAGGGTAAACATCCCCACTCCAAAAGGAACGGGGTCTTGGAAAGAAAGGGTGCGGCCAAAACCCAGCCAGGCAGACATTTTTTG